CTTTCCCTAACTTAATATCCTTTGTAATCAATCACAAACAATAACATAAATATAATTGCGAATAGATAGAAAAAAGGAAGAAAATGAAATAACAACCCAATCATAAAACAAAAACCAATTTTGAAGAGACAGGGGGCGAAATCCGTACCCACCGACGCTTTCACCAAACAAGGCCTAAGGTTCCTTGAGGGACTCAAAAGGAAATCCAATTAATGAATAATTAATTAATTAAAATAAATAAGAAAAAAAAACTTGTGCGTAATTATAGATGCATGGTTGGCGCGTATATAAAGAAGGACGATGACGAGCGGTGACCAACGCCATCGTAACAGCTCACATACTGGACCGTTGGGTTGTTCTTCGAGACCCACTCTGACTCGCTGGGTTGACTCGCTCGAGTTTGGTGGGTTCTGACTCGCCCGCGGACGGATCTCGATTTTCTCCCAGGTGAATTCTGCTGTCTACGTTTTCGATTTTTGTTTTCTTATTTTGCTTTTCATAAATTTCTGGTGCTTGTGTTCTGCATAGATTGAGCTGTTGTGAATGAGTTACCTGACAATGTAATTTGCGTCGCTTTTGGTTCTCAATTGTGCGGTTCCTGTTTGAATTCGTGTTTACTCTGTTTTGGTTTTTTTTCCGAATTCACAGGGTGTTTGCGTAATTGTATTGTGTTTTACTCTCATTATGTGTTAAATTGTGTGAAAACAATTGTGTACGTGTCAGATCTGGTGCCTGAGTTAATGTTTCATTCCTGCGGTTTTTTTTTTTTTTTTTTGGTTTATCTGTTGGTAATTTGATTTCCATTTTCATGGATTTGGTGCCTTTGCAGCATTGCTTCAATTCAGGCTTTTGTGGTATTTTATTATTCAAATAGAAATACTAGTGAAATTTCTGATTCCGTGCATGAGATAAGGGTAAATTGTAAACTGTAGTGATATGCAATGCAAAATTGGGCTGGTTACATTGCGCTTGGATCCAATGGATCTAGGAGATCCATACAGTGCATGCTTATTTGTAAAGCTAGCTTGCTTCAGCTAGATAAATAACTCTCCCTTGTATGTTTTTTCCAAGATGTGTTTTTTTTGAGAAATTTATTCCTGAAAATGATATAAAGGAGCCTTTTCCCGATGTTGATATGATTATGTCAGTATACTCAATTATATTTGCTCTACTGCTGTCCAGTACATTTGACCTAACCTGACTCGACCTTTTGTTTGATGTGCATATATATAGGAGGCTTATAAAAGAAAGAGTGATAAGAGCCAATCTTGACGATATAACTATATATGAATAGTCAAGATTGATTTTCCTTAAATCCAATATCAACCATCTAGATATGGTGATGATGAAGACTAACTCCCCTTAAGAGAGCATGCTCAATATGCTTCACACACACACATACACCCACCATTTCTTGCATTTTGTTTCTAGCTCAAATTTGTTGACAAAGCAAGCAATGCAACAAAAGGTGAACATTTGGAATTAGTAGTATATCACAGCTGTTTTTAAGATTTATTTCCTAGTAGCCAAACTTATATCCCTATCTTTAGCATATTTGTTTCTCTAATATAGAATTAATGCAATGCACTTTAGTTTGAAGGCTTTTTAGGTGGAGATCTTTTTGTCATGAAAGCTATGTAGGAAATCTTCTTAATTTGAAAGAAGGAAACATGCTCATACTGAAATTATAGCAGAATGCCAAGTGTTAACCATGCGTCATGATTCCGGTTTATCTATAGCACCGTTTATGGATAAACCTTCCACTGGGTTAAACCGTTTTTTGTCCTTCTCATTAAAAGCTAGTGTCATTGTATAGCTGGATTTTGTCCTTGTTTTCATATCTGGATAAACCTTCAGCTTCACTTTACTTTCTTTTGTGGATCTTTGATTCGTGTAATGATCACATAACTTTGATCTTGTTGTTGCTTCTTTTGGATTCTGGACGAGTGTAAAGTTTTTCAGGGTCTTATTTCTTGAGCTTCCTTGACAGACTGCACTCTCTTTTTTTTTTTTTTTTTCCGGATCATTTCGGTTACCATCTTTAGCTGTATTCGTGTCACCTACCTTTGAACACCCGTCAACTCGGGGGCAAATTTTATGCCAGTTTTATTTTTACACACGCCACTATAGAGTTCCGTGTAAGTTCTTTCCTAGCATGCATATTTATTATAGAACCGAGTGGAATTTATTTCTCATATTTGTGATTGTGTTCTCTCTTATTCCTTCTTGATCTGCTTTTTAATTTATAATTTGTTGGAAAAGCAAAGGGCATTGTATCACAATGAAGGCGCTGATTCTGGTTGGAGGGTTTGGAACAAGGTTGAGGCCATTGACACTTAGTGTTCCCAAGCCTCTTGTTGATTTTGCTAACAAGCCCATGATTTTGCATCAGGTAAGGCGTTTTGAAGTCTCTTTTCTTGAAGTCTTACCTTTCTTATGTTACACGAGCAAATTACAAATATTCTTTGTTTTTAATGGATTGATGATTGATCAAAGTTTTTGGAGAATGCTACATAGCAAGAATTACTTTTTCCAGAATTTTGACTGAATCAAAATTTGCATGTCTGTGCACTCTTAGATGGATGAATGGTCCATACTATTTTATCTTATCCAACAAATCATCTTGAGTCTAGCTGAATGCTGTGAACATTCTGGTATTTTTTATGGGATTTGCAACACATCTAGAAATATGATAAGAAAAACAACATTTGTCATTCTAATCATGATCTTGGTACTAATGATGGTTCTAAAACTTGACTTCCATCAAAATTTTGATTATTTTCCTATTTTTACCATTTTAGTGTGTCAAATTATAGATTCTCTAAATTTTAGTTCTCCACACCATCCTATCACTACCTGTGTATGTACTGCTTAGTAGAGCATCCTACTGATTTACCTTTTAATTATACTTGCTTTACAGATAGAGGCTCTAAAGGCCATTGGCGTCAGTGAAGTGGTTCTAGCTATCAATTACCAGCCAGAAGTAAGAATTCTGTATTTCCTTGCCACACCATGCAGTCACTCTCAAAGAGATTCATGTAAATAAATTTTCTATATTTTTGACTTCGGTAAAACTTCCTCTCGTAGGTGATGTTGAATTTCTTGAAAGATTTTGAGGAAAAACTTGGCATCAAAATCACTTGTTCTCAAGAAACTGAACCACTGGGAACTGCAGGCCCCTTGGCACTTGCCAGGGATAAGCTGATAGATGACTCAGGAGAGCCATTTTTTGTTCTCAATAGTGATGTTATCAGTGAGTATCCGCTTAAAGAAATGATTGAATTTCACAAAGCCCATGGAGGAGAGGCTTCCATAATGGTGACAAAGGTAACCGAATCGTAACAGAATATATAGATATATATCACATTAGAGTTTTCAATATTTTTATATCTCCTTGTGTAGGTTGATGAGCCATCAAAATATGGTGTGGTTGTGATGGAGGAGACTACTGGGCAGGTTGAGAAATTTGTAGAGAAACCAAAGTTGTTTGTTGGTAACAAAATTAATGCTGGAATCTACTTATTGAACCCCTCAGTTTTGGATCGAATTGAGCTGAGGCCCACTTCTATCGAGAAAGAGGTGTTTCCAAAGATTGCAGCAGAGAAAAAGCTATATGCAATGGTTCTGCCAGGATTCTGGATGGACATTGGACAGCCAAGGGACTATATTTCTGGCCTGAGACTTTACCTGGACTCACTGAGGAAAAAGAATCCTTCTAAATTGGCCAGTGGTCCTCACATTGTGGGGAATGTCATTGTGCATGAGACTGCCAAAATTGGCGAGGGATGTCTCATTGGACCGGATGTTGCAATTGGTCCTGGCTGTATTGTTGAGTCAGGTGTCAGGCTTTCACGCTGCACAGTCATGCGAGGAGTTCGGATTAAAAAGCATACTTGCATATCCAGTAGTATCATTGGCTGGCACTCCACTGTTGGGCAATGGGCTCGTGTGGAGAATATGACTATCCTTGGAGAAGATGTCCATGTTTCTGATGAAGTTTACAGCAATGGTGGTGTAGTTTTGCCCCACAAGGAGATCAAGTCAAACATTCTGAAGCCAGAGATAGTCATGTGAGGTTACTGTCTTAAATTCTTTGCATGTATTAGGAGGTAGTAAGTTCTTGATTCCGAAATGAGTTTGTTTTTTTAATTTGGTTTCTTTTTTTCTTGCATCCCAATGCTTTTCTCTTTGCTACATATTGTACAAGTCAGTTTCGATTAGAACTGAGTGATGCCATAATTTACAATGTCGAAAGGTCTATGTATTTGTAAAGGGTATAAACTTGGATACTGTCTCTAAGTCGTGTAATCTCCAGTGTTATGTATAGAAATTAAGTTATTTATATCCCTTTCTCTTTTTAGTCGAGATTTTTACGTAATTATTTGAGATAAATTTCGCTAAGAACCAGATATGGTGGGCCTCTGTCATGAAACGGAAGGACCAAGGGAATTTTTTCTAATACTAGGTAGATTTCCTTATTACGGCCCCAAAGGGTATGCATACGTGTTCTGCACTTCATTGTATTATATTATGTGTAGGATCCACCCTGGGACCACAACACGAGACCCAATTTGGATGTTATCCGGAAAATATCTTGAATCCTAGTCCACATAAAGCAAACTAATAAAGCAATAAATGATTAATCAGTTCCGATACAAACAAGCTCCTCTCATATCGGTAGAATAAAAAAATTATAAAGCAAAAATGACAAATAAATTATAAAATCGTGACAGTTTAATACTAAAATGGACAAAACACACGATTATACAATCGTGAGAAAATCAACTCTTGTATATTAAATAAGAACTTCTTGTATATTAAATAAGAACTTCTATTTTATGTAAGAATTTTTGTAGAATTTTTTTTCCAATGAGATAATTTTCAGAAATTTTATTTACTTCTTATCTAATTTGATTTTTTATTTATTAAAATTATTTATGAATTCAATATTAATATTTTAAAATAAATTATCAATAAATAAAGATAATTTTTTTATAATATAAATTAGTTATCATAAATATTAAATATAATTTATGTATTTAAAAGTATTTATATATATTTATTTTAAATAAAATTTATATATTTAACATAAAATTTATTTATATATAAAATTTATTATAAATTTTAATTATATATAATAAATATTTGGCTAAAAATTTATTTTGGTCCCTTATAATCTTTTTTTGTTTCAATTTAGTCCCTCATTAATTTTTTGTCTCAATTTAGTCCCAAACTAATTAATTAGTTTCAATTTAGTCCCAAATTAATTAATTAGTTTCAATGTAGGACTTCCGTCCAAATTATTTAAACGGAGTTAACTTTTGGCCACGTGGATGCCACGTAGATGCATACGTGGCATCCACGTGGATG